TTAATGATACAACTAGTATATTTAAAAAGTTTTTAAGTTGGAAACTAGAAATATACATTTCCTTCTGACTGTAGTCATTACTGTAGCTGACAGTAATAATTCCTGAGTTCAGGAATTTCTAGTTCAGAATGCAGCCTCAACTTCTCTGGTAGTAATTAGTTTTTTGTTTTAGTTTCTTTTCTTTACTTTTTTTTTTTTTTGAGATAGGGCCTTGCTATGTAGTCTTAAACTCACTGTGTAGTCCAGGCTGGCCTCAAATTCACAGCAGTTCTCTTGCCTCAGCCTCCCATGTGCTGGGATTACAGGCATGCACCAGGATGCCCACTAGTAATTTTTTTTTTTTTACTGTTTCATAAATATTGTCTACAAATAAGATTATAAAGTTCTTACATCTTATTGTCATCATATTTAGACTTGAGAATTGTATTATAATTCACTGATGTCTTTCCAGAGTTCTTTTGTTTAGGTACCAGTGTTGAGAAAGTGAACTAACCAATGTTCATTTTAATGAAGATGTCTCATGGTGTTTCATCCCATTCCTCCCACCCACCATACTGGGGATTGAACTCTGGACCTTGTGCTTGCCAGGCAGGCACTTATGCCATTGAGCTATCTCCCTGGCCCCATTTTAGTGAAGTTTTAAAATGGAGATACTTTTCTGAATTACAGTTTTTTTCATTTTATTTTTTAGACAGGATCTTACTATGTAGTTGTAGCTAGCTTTGAATTCACTGTGTATCCCAGCTGGCCTCAAACTCTCTGTGAGCCTCCTGCTTTTAGCCTTTATAAGTGTGCACCACCATTCCTGGCTTGGAATTACTCTGAATTGGCATATTTAAATAAAAAGATGTAGTTCTGGCCATCTTTTCATTATTGGTTACTTAGTTCAGTTTATATAGTAGGCCTGAGTATTCCTTGTTAAATGAGTTCCCTAAAACCACTTTTATGGAGCAGCGGCGGCGCTGAGCCGGTGTGAGGTCGCTGTACTGCGCTGCGGGCCGCAGCAGGGAGCTGCGAGATGGAGGTGACGGGGCTGACGGCCCCCACAGTGACCGTTTTCGTCAGCAGTTCCCTCAGTAATTTCCGCAGTGAAAAGCGGTACAGTCGCAGCCTCACGATCGCCGAGTTAAAG